GTTAGCCAAAAGGTGATTTGCTGTTCTTTAGATATTCTGGATATGATCTTTATACTTCCCTGCATCACAAATGTTTTTGCCCACCCTATGGCTTGTTCTTTCATTCTTCTAATCAATTAGCTTCTTTTGATAACAACTCTGAATTTTAGTGTAGTCAAATGTATCCATTTTATTCTTTTATGGTCAGTGCTTTTGTATTTTGATTAAAAGGTCTTTCATTTCGGCCCTCCCTGGTGGCGCAGCGGGTTAAAGCACAGCACAAAGAAGCTTAAGCCACTTCCGCATGAGTTCGATCCCCGCCGGCCCCGGAGGCGACCACATGGCTAGGCAGACCTCACCTGACCCACCTGCTGCTCCCTTCAGCAGTGTACTTCGTCGATCTGCCTGTTCTGTACCCCACTCTGTCTCTGGTGAATCCTCTCACCCTCTGCATCTCTGGCCTGTACCCCAGTTCTGTACAAATAAATAAATCTCTACCAAAAAAAAAAAGGTCTTTCATTTCCAAAAATAATGACAATATTTTGCTGTGTTATTGTTCTAGAAAATATTTTACTTTGTACATTTATAGCTATGATTTAACCAGAATTGATTTTTATGGATGATATAAAGTAGTGGCCAAGTTTTTGTTATGTTTTGCTTTCTGCCATATTAATAGACAATTGTCCTAAGAAAGATTAATAAAAAAAATTCCTTTTCCCATAGAAAAGAATGGTAACCTATGTTGTCTATCTGTGATATATACCTGTGGGAGCCTGTTTCTGGACATTATCCTGTTTCATTGGTCTGTTTGCCAGTCACTGAGCCAATATAATGTAATTACTTTTACTATAAGACTATATTTGGTAGAACAAGTCTTCCTACCTGAGGTCTTCAAGAATGCCTTAATCTTGGGCCTTTTCATTTCCATATAATTTAAATTAGCTTGTGAAGTCTCCACCCTACACACACGCACGTACGCACATGCACCTGATAGGGTTTTTGAATGGGGTCTCACTGGATTCACAAAATCAGATTGTGAAGAACTGAAACCCTAAAGCTATCAACTCTTTTAATTGATTAACAAAGTTTAGATGATTCCATAGGTTGTAATTTTTCTCAACTATCTTTTAGATTTTTAAAAAGATTTATTTATTCATACAGAACTGGGGTACAGGCCAGAGATGTGGAAGGTGAGAGGATTCACCAGAGACAGAGTGGGGAGCAGAACAGGCAGATCGACGAAGTACACTGCTGAGGGGAGCAGCGGGCGGGTCAGGAGAGGTCTGCCGCGCCATGTGCATCTCCTCCGGGGCAGGCGGGGATCGAACTCATGCAGAAGTGGCTTAAGCTTCTTAGTGCAGTGCTTTAACCCGCTGCGCCACCAGGGAGGGCCTATCTTTTATAATTTTACATGTAAAGCCCTTGTGCGTGTTTCCCTAAATGTATCCCTAGCATTTTTATGCTACTGTAATGACTTCATTAAGTCTCAAACTGCTTGTTGACATACAAAAATAAAACCGATTTTCAATATTAACTTCATGTTCTGCAACTCTTCTAAATTCACTTATCAATTCAAACGTTTATGAGTTTTTTTGGATAGTCTATGTATACCATAATGTTTTCTGCAAATAGCGATAGTGACATTTCTTCCTAAGCAAATCTTTCAACTTTTTTTTTTCTTTTCCCTCTATTATTACACTGGCAAGGATTTCTAATACAATGAATAGATGGAACTCTTTATTTTCCAATTTCAGGAGGCAAGCTTTTAAGTATGATGCTTGCTGTAGCATTTATTTGATACACTTAAACATATTTAAGCAACCTATTCTTAGTTCCTTATTCCCATGTGTGTCCTTATAATACATGCCTATTATTTAAGATAATCTGCTCCTAAAACTCAAAGGAGTTTAATTAAAACAATAATTTTATCATCTTCTAAATATTTCTACCTCTCATTTTTCTCATTTTATTCGGTAACGCAAAATTTCCAGAATACTGAATAATAACAATGATGACAGCATTTGAGGCTAGTCCCTGACATTAATGAAAATTTCATCTGGATTCTATATACTAATATTTTATTAAAGCATTTACATCTCTATTCAGGATTTTTATTTGCAGATGAGATTGGTCCATATATTTATTTTTCCTCCTATCACTGTCAGGTTTTTGTATCAGTTATTCTACATTCATGTAAAGAATTGGGGAAAGATATCTTTTTCTTTTCTCTAGAACAGTTTAAGAACTATCTGTGTTCACCGAGGAGCTACTAGCACAATGCCACATTCTCACTACCCAGAGATCACTGCTATTAATACCTTAATGCATAGCCTTCTGCTCGTACTTTCTCTCTTGTCAAGCTGCCCCTCTACACACATGCTTGAGAGAGAGAGAGAGACAGAGACAGGGGGTGTTGATACACATGAATAGATATGCTACACCAAACAGGATTACTCTTCCTACTGTTCTCTGCAAGCTGCCTTTTCAGCCAACAATCTCCACCATTTTAACAAATGTTCATCTCATTTAATACCACATATTTATATTTTCTCAATTAACCCCAAAATGACCCCTACAGCTGGCTTGTCTAAGCCATAACCCAATCCAGAACAAAGCACTAATTGCATCTGACTGTTTAGAAAAGGAAATGTTTTCTAACAATTATAGCTGTCTTAAAATGGAAATGGCTGCTTTGGAAAGTTGTGTTTAGCACTGTTGGAGACTGGAGACGTTTAAGCAAAGGCTGGGCCATATGTATCTGGGAGGCTACCAGGGAATTCCTGCACATGGGACGGCACAGCCTGTGATTTTTAAGGTCTTTCCCAAACTTGGGCTGTGATGATTCCACCTGACTTTCTACAAACACTATCACTGTACCACTTTTGCACAGTCCCCCCATCCTTTCCTGCCCACTCGAGTACTTTACCCCAGGAATACTGTTGCTTCTTTCTTGAAATTTTCCCCATTAGTATTCAAGTATGCTATTTCTCCAATCTGGAAAATACCTGCTGTCAATCTTACTTCCCACTCCCCATGCCACTGAATTTTCTCTCCTTTCCTTTTATGCTAAACAAAAACCAAAAACGCTGTCTGCCTCCTCTGGCTCAAGTTCCTCTTCTCCCATTCTCTTGGGAATCCACTGCTGTCAGGCTTTGGCTCACATGGTTCTAGGGAACAGCTCTGTCTGTCACCCAAGACCGCTCCACATGACTTACTGCCATAGTCATTTCCAAGTTCTCACCTTTCTTTACATGTGCTGATCAATGGCCTCTTTGCTCTCAGATCCATTCCGTTTGCTCAATGGTGTATAGCAGACACTACATTTCCCACCTTCCTCTGTGACTTTCTGGTGGATCTGGCCAGTGGGACTCATTGAAAACGAGCGAGCAGGAGGAGAAGGGGAGCAATCAGGGTCTCCTTCCTTTCTTTCCGTTTTGAGTGCCATGCCTATTCTACATGAAATAAGTCTGTCACAAAAAAGACAAATACAGCATGGGCTCAGGCCGTGCTGCTTCGTGTACTATGTTTTTGATCTGTTCATTTGTATTACAAGGTATTAGGGCAGGAAGTGTGTTCTAAATTCTTTGTATTACCTCCATGGGTTGCACCTAGTCCACAAGGTGCACAAGGTGTGTGTGTGAGGTGCTGCTGAGAGATAGTAGGGAGCTAGTAGGGCATTTTTCTTTGCTCTTATTTCCTGATTTCCTTATTTGGAAGAAGTAGGCTGGAGTGGGGGTAGAGGAAGCTAGCAAGAATGGGAGAATGAGGGGTGGGGGCCCTGGGGAAAATAGTAGGACTGTTACTATTTGCCCCCGTTATTTTCCTGTATCTAATGAGGTATTTGCAACTGAAGGGTCTTCTCTGTCTCTTTTTCCGGCTCTGCTACGGAGAGATGACTAAGCATCAAATAAGATGACCAACCCTAACCTCCTCACATTCCACCTCACTTCACATTCCACTCCACTGTAGCCAGACTCCCAGGACCACAGCATGGACGCCACCCACGCCAACACTCTGTTCCCTGACCATAACCGCCTACCGCTGCTATTCTCAAACTGTCACTCCCACTAACTTCATTCCTTTATTAGCAGCAATAACAACAATAATACTAGCTGTTTTTTTACTGAGTACTTACTATGTGTCAGGTACCATGGAAAACACTTTATGGGTATTATCCTGATGTCAATGTATGTAACGATGTAAATCCTATGAGAGAGGCTTAATTATTACCATCTTCATTTTACAAATGAGTACTCTGAGAGTTTACATATCCCAAGATCCCAAAGCCGGTAATTGATAAAGCCAGAAATTTGATTACAGAGCTATGCTAAATTGCTTCTCCTGTGGGACTGAAAAAATTACATTATTGAGAACATATCACAATTTCATTTTGAGAAACCAAAGTGTGTAATGTAAAAACACTTGTATAAAGGACTCCCAGTAGTAATTATAGTTACTTTTCTACATATTTTCTGAAATATTTATCCTTAGATATTAATCATAAATTGCTTCAACATCTGGTTCAAGTAATGCATTTTTTTCATCTTTAAGATTAAAATCATTATGTCTTAACACCAGCATGTGCTCTTCATAACTTTATTTTTTCATATAGAAATAGTTATTAAAACAATATGACATAGTTTCTCTATTTACTAGTAGCATTTAGAAAGTTTTTTCATGTTGCATAAAAAGACATATTAAAAATTTGGACTTACTCTATGTTTTTTGGTTGTTTTTGCAAATTACCAAGTGTGACAGAATAGTAATAAAAAATTTTGTAGAATGTTGCCACTGTAGTTGTTGGTTACACTTAGAGGTGTAATTTTATTAGGAGGACTGAAAAGTTTTTTTAAAACTAGCTTGTCGGCCATTTCAGGATCTTTACCTCTATGGAACACCTCTTTTTTTATGCATACAGTACTAGGGTACAGGCCAGAGATGCAGGGAGTGAGAGGATTCACCAGGGACACAGTGAGGAGCAGAACAGGCAGATCCACTAAAACACACTGCTGAGGGGAGCAGTAGGAGAGACAGGAGAGGTCTGCTGCGCATGTGGATCATCTCCCTGATGGGGATCAAACTCATGCTGAAGGGGATGCAATTATCTTCGAAGTGATGCACTTTGACCCACTGTGCCACCAGGGAGGATCATGGACCACCTCTTTTAAAAAAAATTTTTTTATTTTGTTACTGTCTTATTCAGCTGCTGTTTCTGCATTTCTCTGACTACTTCCTCTTTTTCACTCAAATTTAGCAAAGCACAGTCCATTACACTTAAGCCTTTAATATTTTATATCCCTCCAGGAAAACAAGCAGCATCACTTATGGTGAAACTAAACCTGTTTGTAACCTTCACATATCCTTGACCCTCCCATTTTCTCCCAGTATTTCAGCTCCATCGTCATCCCTCTCCCTTTGATCCAGCTGATTCTGTGATTAATTCCTCTATTGGCACCTTTAACTCTTTTTTTTTTCTTCAAACTCTTTAGAAATCTTTGAATAATTTTAGGTTTGCAGAAGTTATTCAAAGACAGTACTCTTCTCTCAGGTTCCCCTAATACTAACATCTTATATAAAGCTATGTGCTGAACTGTACCCCTCTCCCTTCGTTCCAAAACTGAAGCCCTGCCCCCCAATGTGATAGTATTTGGAGGTGGGCCTTTGCAAGGTAACTAGGTTCAGCTGAGGTCTGAGGGTGGCTTTCTGATGGGATCAGCATCCTCACAGGAAGAGCCCAGAGCTCTTCTGCTTGTGGTGAAATAAAAAATACTCAACACAGTTGTATTGATCTCAGTATCTTTCCTTACCCTCCCCTAGCTCCCTCCCATGTACCATGCACAGCGGGAAGCAGTCCTCACTCTAGGCTATCTGACAGGATGGCAGCACCCTTGGTCGCCTACTGAGACTCTATTACCACTCAGATCTGAGTGATCCTACCCCTGACACTGTTTGGCTTTTTTCCTTCTTCAAGTAGAAGGTCTGAGAAAGGATAGCTCACCCAATGCTTTAGTATTTGAAGTAAAGTAAGCTTTATGTGGATTCTGGCTTCCTGTGATTTTTTGCTGACATTAGAAACATTCAAACCATAGCCATTACCTGCCAGTCTAAGAAGAGAGATAGCCACTTATATGGATCTGGTTTGCTGGGGACTTTAAACCTAATTCAAGTCACTTTTTTCTATGACACAGTATAATGTTTTTTCAAAAGTCTTTAAGAATTTTGTTAACTCTAAACAAGGTATAAGAATCAGTACCTTAGAAACCAGAGACACTCAAGCACTGATCTATTCATAAAGTTTCTACACAGATGGAAAAGTTTCCTTCAAATGGACAAAAAATAAAACAGTACCAAGGACCTATATATACAAAAAGATCTACAAAGCAGGTAAGATGAATTCAAAGAACTCACTGCATGTAGGAGAGTCAATAGCAGGCAATGCAACACCTTCTGCTGGGGAGAAACAATTAGTCCATGGAAACAAAAATGTAATTTTTCTTCCCTCTTGATTTAAATGCTTTATTCTAGTCTGGGTTCAGAGAAGAGTCCTGATCATTTGAACTGGTTGTCAATCAAGGTCCCTTTCATTTTTGCTTTCTTGGCTTCCAGTTCAGCCTAAGAGGAAGAAAAGTACAAGTACAGATACATGACATGAAATTCTTATTTCCCCGTTTGCTTGTGTCTATGCTAGCATTGCTGCTTCCTTTCCTTTTAAAATGTAAACAAACAAAAAAACCCCAAAAACCTTATTTTCCTTCCTTATTCTTTTTTTTTTAAGATTTATTTATTCATACAGAACTGGGGTACAAGCCAGAGGTGCAGGGGCAGTGAGAGGCTTCACCAGAGACAGAGTGGGGACAGAACGGGCAGATTGATGAGGTGCACTGCTGAGGGGAGCAGTGGGCCGGTCAGGAGAGGTCTGCCGCGCCATGTGGTCACCTCCGGGGCTGGGGATCGAACTCACACTGAGGTGGCTGCGGCTAGCTTACAGTGCTGCATCCTAACCCACTGCGCCACCAGGGAGGGCCTCCTTCCTTTTTCTAACTTCTTACACTCTATCCCTTAATGCTCATTTAGTATTCAAACTAGAATAGTGGCTCTAAATCTAGTGGTTCTGAGTCTCTAGCGACTGCTTCCCAAGCTATTATGACACATAGAGAATGATAGTATCTGTAGGGCAAAATGGGGTGAGCACATGAGGCTGAGGTCTACAGTAAGGAGCGCAGTGATCATCCCACACCCTAGCACCCCAAAGAGTGAGGTGATCAATGCTGTGCTATACTGGAAAACTATTCTCAGCAAAACAGGAAGACAAATGCTGCTCTAGAACAGTGCTACTTCGTGTTGTGTGGTGAACTGCTTGTTACTGGTTCGTGCAAGACACATACAAAATTTGAGAGTAAGGACTTTGAAGCTTCAATAGCAATTTGACAGTAATAATAAGTGAAACAAAATCTATTTTATTTCATTTTATAAATTATAAATCTGCTCTGGACAAATTATAAATTAAAAAAACAAAAAAGAAGAAAGCCCTCATCTTTCACCTCAGAAAATGTGATGAGACTGCTCTAGACTGGGAGGGCTCACAAGCAACTCACAAGACCCACCACCGCTGTCACCCAAAGATCCTTCCCAGTCACTACACTACACTGGTATAATTTTTGAAAAGGCACCAGTGCAGTGATGGTCAATCTTAATGCAACTACTATTTTAAAAAGACTATTACTAAAAAATGTGTAGGCATTGTGACGGGGATTACAACTGAGATGGAAAAATGCACAAAATGATGTAAAAATAACCATTAAAAATATGTGTAGGCAGTATGAAAGTTAGATGTGTTTATTCCCCAAGGAGCCCCCTAATCATGCAGGACACCACCCACAGAGCTTTAAGAAGCAACAAAAGAGCTCGGCTCCTGTTACTACTGTATCTCTCAAAGTCCAATCATTGATTCCTTACCTTGGCCACAAGTAGATTAAGTACCATTCTGGTTAGGGAGAACTAACAAGTATTAGGGGCCCAGATCCAGTGGTTACTACTTTAGGGCCAAGTGTGCCCAAATCAGAGGCCCCCTCTCCGAGGCTGGAAACTGGTGGCCACTTCACCAGTACCTATGACACACTTCCTAAGGTCCTTATCCCCTGCCTGGGATCTTTCAGACCAAGAAATCCAGACAGTCAAGCCCAGGCCCTTGTCAGCCCAGGCCACTCACCAGCTCCTGCAGCCGCCTCTTGCTCATGCCTTTGCGCTCCAGCTGTTTTTCAATCACTTTGGCATTCTGTGCATAAGAGTCAGCAACTTCCCTCTAGGGAGTAAAGAAGCATGCTTAAACCAGCAGTCACACCAACCAGTAACAGCGACCTTCGGTAGCCATTTACCCTACTCGAATTATGAAGTTATTGCTAAAATGGCAGGATTCTGTTCCCTTTCGACTCTCATCTTTTCAGTAATCCAGGAGAGTTCAGAGTTTGACCAAAATCATTTTTAAAATAACAGATAACAGCACTCCATAAGCATCATCAGAGTGAAGCACCATAAAGGAAGTCGCTGCTACTGCCAAGGACAGGCTCACAAGCCATCACAGCTGGAGTGGAAGGGAATGGGAGTCATTGAGTCCAATCATTTTTAAACTGAAGCTGAAAGAGGGATTTAGTCCTAAGGCACTTCAAAAAAAGTATGTAAAAAATATCATTGCTCTAACCCAAATCTCTGGTTCTCATTTTTTTTTTTTTTTTTTTTACAGATGGCCTTGATGGCCTTGAGGGATAGGAACTAGCTTGGGGTCATATTTCTTCTTACTAGCAGAGGGCGCTCCATGAGCCGAGTGTCTTAGGAGTCTGCTGCTCCCATACTCTAGTCTCAGAATCCCCTCTGCTTCCCCACCACCACCTGAGAGTAGACGCACTTACAGCCTCAATCTCCTCCTCCTCTTCATCAATAGTAGACACGGTGACAGAGCTGAACTTGCCCATGTCTTTAGTCCGTTTGGTCATCATCACCTGGAGTCACAGGAAGAGGAATGAGTGTGTATGTATGCAGGGAGTGCCTTTGGGACAGGATGGCCTCTCTAAGAGGGTCGCTGTTTTTATTTGCATTATATTTTGTAACATTTGCCATCAAGACTTTCTGAGGTATATTTTAAAACTTAACTGACTTGCTCCATTTTTAATTATTCACAGTGGAAAAAGAAATTTCAAAGGAAATAAATGTGACCAAAGCCACATAATTTCTAATCTGACTCATAGGGCAGCTGGAGAAAAGAAAAAAGCACACAGACTAGAAATCACAATCCGGTGACCGTGCTGACATACAAAAGGGCACTCTCGCAGCAAAGGAGGCAGACACAAAGGGCAGTTTCTTGTACTCTAGATTTTGCTTTGTTTCTTTTTTTACTTGACTACTCCATAATCTTACTGAACAATCTGGGGCAACATGTGCAGCTGCATTAAGCATCTGTCTCCCCCAGGGTACTCACCTTCTTCGGAGGCTCTTGTTTCTGAGTATATATATTCGTTTTCCCAAAACCCTGGCCAAACTTGACCACAGCTCCATCCACAATGAAAGTCACGGGGGCATTCTTCGGCTGGGACTGGTAGAAGAGAGGCAGGCCACACCTACAAAAGCAGGGTGAGTCTCTGGGAAGCCTCTGAACCCAAACCCCCCAAATGGAGATTCGACTGGCAGTGTGCTTAGATGCTGAAGATATTTTTATTCGTGACATAAATGAATGATTAATTCTTCCTGGAGTTTCCCCAATCCACCTGATAAGAATCATGGAGTGAGTTAAAAGTGCTGATTAGATTCCTAGGTCCCTCACCAGAAGATCCTGATTCAGCAAATTTGGAGCGGTGGGGCGAGGAGGCCTGGAATCAGTCATTTTCCTCAGAGTCCCAACTGACTGATCATTAGACAAGTTGAGGAAATGGTGGCTCCTGGACTGATTGATCACTTTCCAGACAAAACTGCCACCATTATTCCAAAGCACGGAGCCTGGAAACCAGTATGGGGGCTTCTGGCTAGTTTCTGCTGTTTTGTTTTTGCAGCTGAAGAGAGAGTGTAAAGGCTCCATACAGTGGCTGGCAAACTAATCCCTGTAATAACTGCTGTACTTTTTTTGGTTGGCCATTTTATTTTTTCAGCTCAATGTTAAAACCAATTTAATAAATCCAGTGTGTCCCTGAACTAAAATCCCTTTGCATCTACTTTCTCTGCTTTAATACTCTTAGCCTGAGTCTTATGGGAGCCAGGCTATAACTAGTTACATCAATACAACTGAACTTATTACAGTTTAAAATTCCTACTATTTACAGACTAAAGCTGGAAATCTGTATATTAGTATATATACTTCTCTAAATAATAATCTTTAAACTAAGGCTCTTAGACTTGGATTAAATTACACTGTGTTACATTTACCATATGACCCTGCAATCCCACTTCAAGAGAAAGCACACGTTCCTACCTAGATTTACACTACAAGATCCATAGCAGCTTTATTTATAATAGCAAAGCTGGAAACAATCCAAATGCCCTTTGGTGGGTAAATGGCAAATTGGAATACCACTCAACAGCACAGAGGAGCTATGATATGTGTATACATGGATGAATTCCAAAAGCTTTATGTTAAGTGAAAGAAACCAGACACAAAACATACATAGAATTTTAGAAAAGGCAAAACCCTCATGATAGCAGGCAGATCAGTGACTGCCAAAGAAGGGAGGGAGCAAGAAAAGGGGCATGTGGCAAGAAAAGGGGCATGTGGCAAGCTGGGATATCCTGTCAGGGTAGCAGTGATGTCATATGACTATGCTTTGGTCAAAATTCATCCAATTATGCACTTAGGATGGCCAGCTTTTAGGATGGAAGGCTGTTGATTGCAAGGATAAAGATGTAACAGAGAATTGTAATCAGATAATTCTTGTCCTAATACATAACATCTGCTTGCTTATGCTTGGAAAAACCCAATACTTACTTTGCACACTTCTTCCTGTACTGTCGTTCAATGCCTTCAGGCCTACACAGAAAACAGAAGTTAAGAAAAAAAAAAAGATGAATCAAGCTCATAACCTACCTGTCTCATTTCTTCAAATGCTAAAAGGATCAAACATTTTCATCTCATAGAGCAACTGACAGGTTAAACAGGTCTTAATTTTAAAGTTTCAGCATTTCTTCCTTCCAGACATCAGCTGAATCAGTCATCTTCCTGCTTGGCGGCGGGGGTTGGGGGAGGTGGGCAGGGTCATCCAGTAGGGAGGAAACAGTCTCTCCACTCAGTTCACTTCCCCAGAGGCAAATACTGCTTCTGGTTTCTTCAGTTCCTCCTAGAGATAGCTGATCCACACATAAGAAAAGCAACATCACAAAGACAACAGCCACAGCAAGCCCTTTCCTGTGTTCACAGTGTGCCAGTTGCACTAACCCATTTAATCCTTACTACAAGCCCCTGAGATAGTTCATATGATTATTCCCCAACACAAAGCAATTTACGTAACTTGTCCATCGGCCTAGAGCTAAGTAGAGTACGTTGAAATCAAGTCCAGGCCTTTAAGCTCAAGACTCCTTAGATAATCACCCTGCCCATAAGCCTAACAGAAATCTGGGACGCCTTCTTGGTTCTTCTCATCTACTTTGTCAGCAAATTTTGTGGATTACCTCCAAGAAATAGATGGTGATCCCGTGTACTTTTCTCTGCCTTCCCGCTATCATCTAAGCCCAGGTCATGTACCTTTTCCTGGACTGCTGTCACAGCTTCCTGTCTGGTGCCCCGGCCCCTCGCTTGTTTTTAAATTTTCAATAAGCAATACATATTGCCTACTATGTTATATATAAGAAAACAAAATAAAAAGGAAATAGTCTCTCCACTCAGTTCACTTCCCCAGAGGCAAATACTGCTTCTGGTTTCTTCCGCTCCTCCTAGAGATAGCTGATCCACACATAAGAAAAGAATCCTTATTGGCTCACAAAGAAAATATCTTTTTCTTTTCCTTTTTAAACAAATGTAGCATAACTTACACTGTTTTCTACCTTTTCATTGATTAAAAAAATATTTCTTGGTTAAAAGATAAATATGTGTTTCTTAGCTACCAGTTTATAAAGTGCTTCATTCTTTTTAAAAAATACTCTATATTCTTTTGTGTGGATGAACCTCAATGCCTTTCACCTGTTGGATAAATTTCTAGATGTGTGTCCATTTAAAATTCTAATGATTATTGCCAAATTACTCTGTAGAGAAGGCAAACCAATTCATACTCCTACAAATGTGAGAGTTCCTTTTTCCCAACATTCAGCAACACCGTACGCTATTAAAGTGCATTACTGTCAATCTGACATGTGAAACATGGAATATCACAATTTGCATTACTTTTTTTAAAAAGTGAAGTTAGGCATCTCTTCATACATTTAACAGACATATGTACTTTCTCTTTTGGTGAACTTTCAGTTCACAACCTTTATCTACCAAGTTGTCTAAATTTTCTATTAAGGAGACTTGCAAATGTTTCTTTCCCAGTTGAACATCTGCGTTTGATTTTCCCACACACACAGCTATTTTAGATTTTTGTGTATGTGCATGTGCATTCTAAATTCCTATCTAAAATAAAAATTCTGACAGCTTACACTAGAATCTGCTGTTACTACCATCTGACTCCAAACCATTTTCTAAATAGAGGCGAAGAATAGCTTCTAAGACACTTAGAATGAAATCCAACTCCTTCCACCACTTACCAGGCACTGACTGGGTACATAACTGGGCTCCTGCCCAACTCATGCACCCCCACCCCCCTGCACTAGCCACATTAGCCACACCAGTCTTCCTTCTATTCTTTGGACAAACAAGAGCTGCCCTCTCCCCCTTCCCCACATGCTCTTTTCTTTGTCTGGAATGCGCTTCTCACCGATTTGTCACAGCTGCCCTGTTCTCACCATTTTTGCCTCAGTTCTCATCATTTTTACCATCCAGTAGTACAGACCATCCCTGACCACCTTTTCAAGAGGCTCTCATGTGAGCCTCTGATAGAGCTGTTTCATTCTTGAGTTTCCAAAGCCATAATTATTTTATTTTTCTGCCATTCCATTAAATTATAAAGTCCATCAGATCAGAGAGCAATGGAGACCACCCATGTAAGTCTCTCTATTCTATCCCCAGAGCTGAGCAAAGCATTGGAAACAAAGTAGACATGCAATGAATACTGACTGAATGAATTTTGTTTTAGGAATTTAGTTTAATGAGGAAAATTGCAATCATGCAGGTAAGTTCGTAACTGGAGGAATGTGTGTGGTGTAATGAGAACACAGACGTGGGAAGTCTGAATGTAGAGACTCAATGTTTAACTGGCTTCTAGAACCCTGAAGTCAGACAGTATTATAAGCCCAGGCTTTCAAAACACAGAAATATCAAATAAACGTGGCTCTGTGTTTCCCAATGAGCTAATCATCAAACACCAAGGACAAAAGGGATTTTGTCAAGCTTATAAACATTAATCTATTCCTATGTGCCAAGTTTCAAGGAAGATGTCCTAAGGGCTTCATGTCATGGAAAGTTCATTTTATTGAGATATTATGACTTGAATGTGAATGAGATTAAAGGATTTAAGTGGTATGATGAGAAAGAAGTGATTATGTGAGATAGAATTTTGTATTACTTGATGTTGGTTTTCTCTCCTGCACTTCATCTACAGGACTGTGAAAGACAGGGAAGGATGAAAACAAAACTAAACCTTCTTCCTGGTTTGATATCCAGTCTGAGACAATCCCCAAATATCCCTGCCCCCTGCTGTTACACCCCCGTGTAGCCTCTTCCCACAATGGACAGGTTAACCAGTGACACCAGAAGGACACTGCAGAAATGATGAGATGTGACTTCTGGGTTTTGGTCACAAAAGACACTGTGGCTTCCATCTGGCTCCCTCGCATTAGTCATGTTGCAGGAGTCAGCTGCCATGCCATGAGGGTGCTCAAGCAGCCCTATGGAGCCTTGTGGTGAGGAACCACAACTTCTCATAAGCAGTTAGCACTCAGCTGCCAATCATGAGCGTGAGCCACCCTGAAAGTGGAACCTCCAGCTCTAATCAAGACTTCAAATGAGACTGCACTCAAGGTCAGTGTCTTCACTACTGTTTCCTGAGACCAGAGTCAGCCAATTAAGTTGGTCTTAAATACGGAACCCACAGAAAATAGATGAGATGATAAATGTCTACTGTTTAAAAAAAAGGGGGGGTGGCTACCAGGAGACACAGATGAACAGGCAGGCTAAGGCCAGATCACAGTTTTCTTCAGGCTTGAATTTTATCCTTCTAGTTAGAGTTGCTAAAACTGTGCTCCACAAGGATCCTTAAATAAAATCAGGTAAGGGAGGGGAGCAGCCCTTAGTGAATTTCACAATCAGAACAGTTTCCTGTTTGCTGGTTTACACTTCTGGGTGAGAATTTCATTTGAAGAAAGGATTTACTGTCTAAAAATGAAAGGCACTACTGGCGGTGATAAAGAGACCACCAAAGATTTGAGGCATTTTATATCATTCAGGCAATAGCAGTAGACTGGCAGAGAGCAAAACGAGAGGCCAAAATACCAGCTAAGAAACCACATCAATGACCCAAGCAAGAGATTTTGGGTCCTGGGCATGGAGGGAGAGAAGCAGTGCTGACATGAGAAGGCAGTCACAAGAGAGATTAGCAGGTGGAATGCACAGGACATGATGCCTGACTGGATGTATACAGGGGCAAGTGGGGGCTGGGATAGATGAGACAAAGAGGACTGACTCCCAGATTTCTGGCTTCAGCCTGTGCATGAATGGTGATGTCATCATAGGAGGAGGAAAGGAAGGAACTAGGTCTGGATGACCATTTATAGAGACCCATCAACAGAAGAGCCTCTTCTGAAGTGAAAGGTATCCACGGGAAGGTGGTTCCTAGCAATGGCTAAGAGCCAAGAAGAGCATGGCAGAAGCTCTGCAATTCTTGCGGCCTTTCCTTCCCAGTCCCAAGATGGTTCTTGGTGCTCCAATAATCACATTCATTTTCCAGAAAGTAGGAAGGAATAAAAGCAGAACAGTAAAAAAGGGTTTTCACTGGAAGCCTCACACAAGTTCTCCTTCCGACCCTTTTACTGGCAAAAGCCAAATCACATTCAGAATCTCAGTGTTTTGGGGGAAGGAGCAGAAGTATGTACCTAACTTTATAGACACCAGTATACAGAAGGGTAGGTATAACAGAATAGTGTTGGAGGAGATGAGTGCACCAATCTGTAGTATTTTCCACACTAGAGCAATAACAACTTTGGCCTGAGTCATGTTGAACTGAGATAGAACATCAGGTTAAAAGGCAGAATCAGCAGCTGGATAGACAGTTCTAGGCCCAAGAGAGAAATGTACACAGATTTGGATTTGTGAGTCATCAACATACAAGTATAACTGATGCTATGAAAAGTGGCCAAGACTGCTCAAAGAGAGTATAGAGAAAGGGTAAAATCAAGGTCACAGCCTTGGGAAATACCAACATTTAAGGGACAGGCAGAAGATTCCAGGAGACTGAGAAGGCTGAAAGAGTAGGAGAATCACAAGAGCAGCTTCACAAAAATCAGTGAAGAATCATGGGAGGCATCGTCAATACACATGCAGAAAATCACCCACTGGATCGCACTGCGAGATAGGGTGCTGAATGAGGGGAAGGGGCCCCAGGGGACAACAGTGTCAAAGGAGGGGTACTTTAGAATGAAGACCTGGATGTGGAAAGGCACAGGCTCCAGCACACGTGCTGGCACACAGCCTGGTTTTCAGTACCTTGTGTTCCCATACTCAGCTGAATAAAGAGAAGGAAGGACGAGCAGACCAAAATTCCACCCTGGCCAGCAGGAAGCACACAAGAGCGGGCCCTTGGGAAGACTGTTCGTGCCTAGAGCAGGAACTCTATCAGCCAAGGCGCACGCTTGCCACGCCTGCTGGTAAACTAAGAATTCTGTGGCCCAAGAGTCAGGTGGCCAGAGACTAAGGCCAGGCCTGAGGCTGGCTCACTTCCAGGATCAAGCTCACTGGAGCCCAGGATTTGTATTTAGCCAACAGTTACCCAGTTTCCTAGACAGATGGGTATCTGCCCTATAGTGCCACAGGAGGCTGAGGCCTGCTTGTACTGTTAAGATTATTTTCTGTACTAACTGCACAATACATATACTTAGTATGTCTAATACTATTATGTTAGCCACTGTTACATAATCACAACTATATGGATATTATTACATATATACTATATGTTAGAGTGTATGTATCTATTTTGGTATACAATGCTATAAATATTTTAGGGATCCTAAAGTTAGGCAGTTGATAATATTCAAAATCAGTTAATGGAGGAAGAAAAGGCACAAGAGACTGATTAGCTTTAGATAGGGCACGTTATTTATAAAACTTCCTATATATACCATAACAGAGTTGTCTTGCTGTTTCCTGAAAGACCTTCCTTTGTGACTTTCATACGTTTTATAACTTGCGCCCCAGTGGTATGTGTATATAACCAATATTCTCCTCAGCAGCACAACTCTAGCATTCCTGTTGGCACAATGGTGCTCAGTGCCTGATTTGCTACAGGATGACACCTAAGAGTGGTTGTAACAATAGTTTGGTTTCTTAAATAAACAGTGTGAGATGTCTACCTGTAGCTTTCTGTAATTCAACACCAAAATATAAGCTCCACAAGGACAGGGCTCTTTGCTTGCTTACTAGTTGTAGCGGGCTGGACAGTGTGCCTTAGAAAGTCATATCCATGAACCTTGGAAAATGACCTTACTTGGAAAGAGGGTCATGGAACAAGGTTCAACAAAATTTTTTTATTGAAGATGAGGCTGTGTAGATGAGTAGAATGTATCTTTATTCCAGTGTAACTTATGAGAAGAAAAGAAACAGAAACACAGGAAGAGGGCCATGTGATGGCAGGGACACAACTGGAGTGACGCTTCTGTGAGCCAGCGAATGCCTGGGAACATCAGCAAACACTAGCAGAGGTGAGGAGAGGCAAGAGTAGATTCTCCCCTGGGACATTCAGAGGCAGCAAGGCCCGACTGACACCTTAATTTCAGACTTCAGCCTCCGAACTGTGCAGAACTCTGACACAATTTCTACTGGGTTAACCCAGCTTGGGGTACTCTGTGATAGCAGCTCTAGCAAACTAATACACTCTTAATGCACAGGCTTCAGGAACTGATAAACAGAAGGAACTGGGAAATTAAATATTTACTGAATTAATAGATGGGCTTTCTAATTCCCTAAGACTGAACTCTCTAGGTCAACAAGTGGCATCTGGCACTCCCTTCTTGAAATCCTCTTCTTCGCTTTTTCACATCACCAAGTTTTCCTAGTTCTGATCCAATTATTTTAATCTGCCTTTTTTTTTAAAGATTTATTTATTTATGCATACAAAACTGGCCAGATGTTCAGGAGGAGGGGTGGTGAGAGGATTCACTATAGTCAGAGAGGGGAGCAGAACAGGCAGATTGACCAAATACACTGCTGAGGGGAGCAGCGGGCAAGACAGGAGCGGTCTGCTGCACCATATGGGTCACCTCTGGGGCGGGGATCGAACTTACACGGAAGTGGCTGCTGCAGCCAGATTTGCAATGCTGCTACTTAACCCACTGCGCCACCAAGGAGGGTCCTTAATATACTTTTTAAATGTCAATGATTGTATCTTCAGCCCTCTTTTTCTCTTGTCCCATACTCTTTCGTGTAATATTATGCCTTCTCAGTTTTCAATTCCCACATACATTACAGACTTCTAAAACCCCTAGTGGCCTAGGGGTTAAGACTCAGCACCATCACACTATCACCACTGCAGCACAAGTTCAATCCCCAGCTGGAGAGGTGACCCACATGGCCCAGCAGATCAGTTCTTTCTCGCTCACTGCTCCCCACAACAGTGTATTTCAGTCAATCTGCCTGTTCTGCTCCCCACTCTGTCTCTGGTAAATCCTCTCACCCCCCCCCATACCTCTGGCCTATACCCCAGTTCTTCTAGGTATAAATAAATCTTAAAGATTTATTTATTTGTGCATACAGAACTGGGGTACAGGCCAGAGGCTCAGGGGCGGCGAGAGGCTTCACCAGAGACAGAGTGGGGAGCAGAACAGGCAGATTGACGAAGTACACTGCTGAGGGGAGCAGCGGGCGGGTCAGGAGAGGTCTGCCACGCCATGTGGTCACCTCCGGGGCAGGCGGGAATTGAACTCATGCGGAAGCGGCTTTAGATTGTCAGTGCTGTGCTTTAACCCGCTGCGCCACCAGGGAGGGCCAAGGTATAAATAAATCTTAAAAAAATAAAATAGGCCCTCCCTGGTGGCGCAGCGGGTTAAAGCACAGCACTGAGAGTCTGAAGCCGCTTCCGCATGAGTTCGATTCCCGCCTGCCGCCTGCCCGGAGGAGACCACATGGCGAGCCAGACCTCTCCTGACCCGCCCGCTGCTTCCCTCAGCAGTGTACTTCGTAGATCTGCCTGTTCTGCTCCCCACTCTGTCTCTGGTGAAGCTTCTCACCGCCCCTGAGCCTCTGGCCTGTACCCCAGTTCTGTATGCACAAATAAATAAATCTTTAAAAAAAAAAAAAAAAAAAAAAAAATAGACCTAAGCATGTCATTCTCCTGCTTGAAAGTGATGACTATTACCTACACCTAAAGTCCAAAACTGTCAACTTCAACAATTTACTGCTCTCACCCCAGAACCCCTTCTTTTTTCCCCATTGTATATACTTTAACAGCCACTTAAAGTTTTTATTTTTACTTATTTATATATACATTTACATTATTCTTAATTTTTAAAATTTTTACTCTCAGTTGTAATCCCCATGAGCCCCTTCTCAAACAGGAACCTGTGCTAGCCACAAGGACTATTCCAATTTCTCAAGCACACCCTATTTGATGCTTTGAATGCTCCCACAGTCCTCCCACCCAGAGTGCTCCTCATCCCCCTCCTCTAGTTGGCAAAATCTAGTTTGTGTTCAAGCCCAAACACAGACGCTACTAACTTCCGGTGCCTTTGCTGACAATCACTCAGGCAGAGTTCCCACCCCCATCTGTTTCCTAGAGCCCTCTGGTCAGTGCACCAAGATCTTGTCATGTCCGGTCACAACAGGTACCTGTTCCCTCCCTGAGCCACAGCTCTTAAACTGTCAGGACAGTACCTGACTCATCTTCTCAATTCCAGTCCCTAGTTCAGTGCCTGGCATATGGTATGTTCCAAGAGATTACAGATTAAATGAATTCTACTTGCAAACACCAAAACAAATGGCTATTGAATGGCAACAGAATCACATTTGAGCACCATTTCAACAAAACACAACAAAGGTGTTGCTGCATCAGGCTCCTACCTCCGAAGATACATAGTTTCCTCATCTTCTGTGTTACAAAACTTGTGGGCATGTTTGGCAGCATCAATCACACGAGATCGATCCCGGGGCCTCATGGGCAATTTCTCTAACTGACAGTCTGAAGGAACAGAGAAAGATTTGGTCAGTACAGCCACTGAAGACTATCTTCCTGCAATCAATAAATTTTCAGTCAGGCCCTCAGCACTGTAACTTCCCACCATAATGGCTATACTTATTTAAGTCTATTATTAAACTTTCCAACTAAAACTGACTTGGTGTCCTGAGACCCAGATAACCAGAGATGACCTGGTCATCTCTGACAAGTCACTTCCTCTTTGGGGGTCTTTTCCTTATTTGAAAGACAAATAGATATTATCTCAAAGGTACTCTCTAAGGTAATCCCCAGCACTGAAATTCAAGTTTTCTGAGTAGACCTGTTACCATGATACATGGTATTATAATGCATTCAAATCAAAAGAGACAGGAAAATACAGCTATCCTGCCCACCTATGACTATTCACGTACCTCTCTTTTTCTGTAGTCAAATACTCTACCCTTGAGCTATACCCCCTCTTTGCTTCTCTTTTTCTTTCTTCTTACCTAATAAGCCTGTCCTTTTAATATGTTTTTAAAAAAAAAAAAGAATCAGAAGAGATCATCAAATGTGCTGCAATGCCTATGAGGAAGACACAGGCTGTGCTTAAGAAAAAGAGAGCAGTTGGGTTATGGTATGCTATATATAGAGCAAATGACCCATCCCAGTAAAAGGGATTCTAATTTAAATACATGCAGGAAACGAATTAGGTGTAGTTATAAAGCAGATGCAAAATTGATATAATCTAAATTAAGTACCTAAAAACTCACAGAGAAAGTCAAGTACTGAGAGTAATTTGAGATTAGTGGAGGAGGCAGAGAGGGCATTCAGAAGCCACCAGGCAGTTTGCATGCTTGTTCAGCACTCTTCACAACGACCTGTTGGAGCAGACACCTAGTACTCCTACTTCAAAGAAGAGGGACTGAGGCTTAGAAAAACCAAGAGATTTGCCATGCATTTAAGGAGCAGAACAAGAACTCAGACCCAACTCTAGGTGATTTGAAAGAGAACTCACTCAGGAAAGGCATGAGCCTCTATGTACCAGGCACAACTCAAATAGTGTTCTGGAGATTCAGCAAAGAACAAAGCAAAGTCCCCACCCTGATGCAGTTTATATCTGTTACTGGCAGAGGCGGCAGAAAATTTAGTAATTACGTAACACAATCTTGGATAATGATAAGTGCTAATAAAAAAATCAGGCAGGATATGAAAAGAATAAAACTGATCTTAGAAAAAGGATACGTGATAATGGTAAGTGAATTAAGATAATGGTAAGAAAAACTAGCAGGTAAAAGAACAAAGAGTGACATGGGGGACTATTTTAGATAACGTAGTCAAGGAAGAGTTTTCTAGGGAAATGACATTTCATAAGACAACTGAATGAAAGGAGAAAACACTGAGGAAAGAGCACTCCAGGCAGGACAAATGGTAATCCCAAAGGTCCTGGGGGGCACGAACATTTTGACCTATGGAGAAAAATCAAGAAGGCCACAGCAGTTGGAGTGCAATGAGGAAGGGGAGCGTGTCAGGAGATGCAGTCTGGGGAGCACTAGACATCTGATCATTCAGGGTCTTGGTATGGATTTTTGTTGAATTCTTGGTGTTACAAGAAAACACCAGTTTAGAACAGGACTCTCACTGCTTTGTGGAAAATAAAGCAGTGGGGACAAAGTGTGGACAGCAAGAGACTACTGTGACAATGCCAGGGGTGGGTGATGGTGACTGTACTAGAGTGGTAGAGATGAAGGTGGTAAAAAATAGTCTGGAGAGATTTTCAAAACAGCACATGTAGAATATGTTGATAAATGAGATGGCGATAAAGTGTGAGAGAAAAAAATAACTGATTCTCAAATACCTGATAAATAATGACTACAACAGGGAAGACAGAGGGGAACAATAGAGAGAATAGGGGAATCATGAAGATGGGTCTGAACATGATCTCTTTGAGAGGCCCAGCAGACAGCCAAGTGGAGATGCTGAATAGACAGAGCTGTCTGAAAGGTACAGGTGAAAGATGAACACTTGTGAGTTACCAGCCTGTACTAAGCATTTAAAGCTTGGGAACCTTGTGATCATTTAAATGATACACACAGACTAGCTGAGGGGGCCAAACCCCAGGGCCCTGAAATGCCTCAAAGTCTGACACAGAAAAGGGGGCCATATACTGAGAAGTAACAAAGTTGACATAGGAGGAAAATCAGGACAGTGTAGAGTCTTGGATGCAAGGAAAGTAGTTCAAAAAAGGATAAAATGGTCGTTTCTGTCAAATGTCACTGAGAGGGAGATTAAAGTGAGCCTTTAAAATTGACCACTGAACTTGTAAGATGTTCAGTTAGTAAACTTGACATAGTTTGGATGGTGGGGTGAGAAAGAAAGACTGCCTGAAGTGAGGTCAAGAGGGAATGGGAAGTAAGAATACAAAGGCCAGATAGGCAGCTCTCTTTAGAACTCTTGTCATAAAAGCAGTACATAAGTAGGGTTATAACTGGGAGGGGGAGATGAAGAGTTGGAAAGTTTTTATTCGAGTTTAAAGTAAGGGCAATCACAGCGTCCTTGTAGCCAACAGAAAGGTTCAAATTTTCTAAAGACGGGAAATGAAATAACGTATGTGTGTGTATATATATATATATATATTTATTTATTTATTTATATATTTATATATATTTATTTATATATTTATATATATTTATATATATATTTATATATATTTATATATATATA